AGTTCTTTTAATTATAAATATAAATTATATATAGACCCAACATCTATATAATTGGTGACCGCGACTGAGAAAACACGTGGCTGAATTCTGATCTTGATACTACAAGCGAGGTATACTATATCATTAATAATGTCTTCACCCGCAAACACTGAAGCCTCACAAGATCTAAATCGATCGCTCATCGATTTTGACGAAACTCAAGTTCGCACGCCATGTGCGAGCAACTCCAACCAAGTGAACAATGATTTAAAAACGGAACAAATTTACAACGTGGGCAGGCATACAATAACCCCGTTCATGGAAGATGCTCCTGACCTATGGTTCCTGTTGATTGAGACAGAGTTTCTTGGAGATAAGATCAAATCCGACCATGCGAAGTACACGGCGGTATTACGTGCTCTGGACAGGTCCACTTTACACCTGGTAAGCGATGTGTTGCGAAATCCGCCAACCGAAAATAAATACAACACGTTGAAGAGCATAATCCTAGACCGAGTATCCGAGTCGAGGTCAAAGCAAGTAGACAAATTGTTAACAAACGTTGTCTTAGGTGACAAAAAGCCATCCCAGCTACTACGGGAAATGATTGACCTGGCTCGGAGTGAAATCTCGGAGGATATCATCCATAAACTTTGGTTGGACAGACTCCCACAACACATCCGGCCTCTACTGCTTGTATCAAAAAACATTGGGCTACAAGCCATTGGCGAGATGGCAGACAGGCTTGTAGATACTTGTGGACTGCCATCATCGGTGATGGCCACAGCGAGCAGAGCACCTGAACCAAGAAGTGACCGCACCCAAGAAATTCTGCTTGCCATGATGCAGAAACTAAATGCCTTGACGACAGAAGTGGAGAATTTAAAACATAGCAGAGAACATGACGAGAGAAGCAGGACCAGAAGTCACTCCAGGCACAGGAGAGGGAGATCAAAGACGCCGTCCAAATCACAGCTATGCTTTTACCATAGCAGGTTTGGAGAGAAGGCTACCAAATGCATAGAACCCTGTTTGGTTAAGACTCTCCTGAAGCCGGAAAACTAAAGTCACCATCAACACCAGGAGCAAGTAATGATGGTGATATTAATTCTGTCTGTCCAGAGCTCCGACTATGTGTGACAGACAGAAAAACACGGATAAATTTTCTTATAGACTCTGGCTCCGTTCTCTCGATTCTTCCAGCTAGCAAGTTTGCAACCGGTCGTGCCAAGGAAGAGATTGTTCTGTATGCAGCCAATTCCAGCCGAATATCCACCTATGGAAAGCGGACTCTCGAGCTGGACCTTTCGCTGCGCAGACCCTTCACTTGGCAATTCACAGTAGCAGATGTGGCAACAGCCATAATCGGTGCAGACTTGCTAAGCTACTACAATCTACTAATAGACCTGAAAGGCAAAAGACTAATTGATTCAACGACAGGCTTAGCCTCTGATGGCAAAGTGCTGAAGACCCAGAACATTAACATTTCCACAATTAACCCACACCAACCTTTCAGGAGCTTACTAAACAAATATATAACAATCACTAGAACGCCACAGAGACTAACAATTAAACCATCTCCTTTCGCACACAGGATTACCACAACAGGTCCACCAGTTGCTGCCCGGTTCAGGAAGATTTTTGGTGAAAAGGCATCAGCTGCAAAAGCCAAGATACAAAATCTCCTGAACAGGGGCATTTTGAGACCTTCAAGCAGTCCGTGGGCAAGTCCAATACATATGGTATCAAAAAAGGATGGATCTTATAGACTCTGTGGTGACTATAGAAAACTTAATTCAAGCACGGTACCAGACAAATACCCTCCTCCACTAATAAGCGATGTTTTTACAAACCTGCACAATAAAACAATTTTTTCAACAATAGATCTTGCCAAAGCATATCACCAGGTGCCGATGCATGAGGAGGATATACCGAAGACGGCCATCATAACTCCATGGGGACTATATGAGTACCTCTGCATGCCTTTTGGACTGAAGAATGCCACTCAAACATTCCAGCGCTACATAAACCACATATTCCAAGACATTGACTTTGTGTTTATATATGTGGATGATATTCTGGTTATGTCTGAGAACATGGAGCAACACCATCGCCACCTGCAGATAGTTTTTGAGCGTTTGCAAGAACATTCTCTAACCATCAACACCAACAAATGCGTCCTAGGCAAGTCCCAAGTAGATTTTCTGGGTTACAAGCTCAGTGAGAAAGGCTATTCTCCAGCTACAGACCGGGTGGACAAGATTTTGAACTTCCCACAGCCAACAACAGTTCTGGAACTGCGTAGGTTTCTGGGAATGCTGAATTATTACAGGAAATCAGTCCCAAAAGCAGCCAAACTGCAAGCACCGCTGAACAGTTACCTACGTAGTTCAGTCAAGAAGGATAAAACACCTGTCATTTGGAGCCCAGAATCTCTGCAAGCCTTTGAGGACGTAAAGAATGCTCTTGCAAACGCCGCTTTACTTCATTATCCAGCTGCTGCAACAAATATATGTTTGGT